CTCTGTTTTAGCAATAACTCTCCAAGTCAGCTTGCCAAACACCACTGTCAGTGGACAGTGGGCAACAACAGCAGGTGGTGAATATCAGAAGCTGGGCACTGTTGCAGAAACATGCTGAATCCTTATAGAGAGCTTGAGACATGTACAGCATAGCCCACATCTCCAGCAGGGTCCACAGCTCTGCCTTGAGCCTCTGGACAAAACCCAGCCAAAGAGGAGCCAGCATGAAGGAGTATGGAGCACAAGAGCTGCACTGCTAACTCCTGACACAGGAGCTGTTGCTGACATCAGCTTCTAAGCTCCATAAAACAACCACAGACTACTGACCCCTTTCCTTTTGGCAACCTAGTGCAGCATGACATGGCAGTGCTCTCTTCATCTACCAAGTAGAACCTCCAATCCATGGCTCAGCCACAACTTAATTCCCTGGTTTGTCATTAGGAAGGATGCTGGTGGGGGAGAAACATGAGCACATGCACTTGCTTCATCCTTAACCTCCAGATCAGGCTTTGCCAGCTGGCCGCCCTACCTTTGGGCATGTCCTTGGACAAGGCTTTTATGTAGTAGGCAGTCTGCTCACGGGAGGTGTACCCGTTCAGGTGAGCACCCATACTCTCCACCTCCTTCTCAAAGGCAGCACCAGGACGCTTCTTTGTGCCCTAAAAGAAAACAGACAAACAGTTATGAAACATACAGATTTCCCTCCCAGGAAGAACTAAAGGAAAGGAACAATAAAGATCTAACCCAATAAAAACTGTCACATGATTCATGCAAACCAAAAGCAAGTGTAGAAAGTAAGAGACTTAAAACTTGCTTACTCTAGCTAAAGGATGGCTGAAGTTATTTTTAAGGACTAATAAAAAAATAGAAGGAAGGAGAAGATTTATGTTAAAAGGCAACAGTGGCTGAAGACCAAATCAGTGGAAATAAACCAAGAATAAGTCTAAACCAAAAATAAGCAGGTTTCTGGCTATTGGAGCAGCAATATTCAGAAGCCAGAATAGGAGCAAAAACTTAGCTCTAATACAGAGCTCATCTTTTAAGGGGCAAGCCAGATGCTGCAGCCACCTGTGATGGCACAGACTGGACCCCAGTCAGCAAGTCCCAGGCTGAGATGCCTTCTGCTCCCGGGCTGTTCTGCAGACACATTTTTTAAAAAGAGCTGCAGGCTCTGAACTTCACTGGTCCACTAAGAAAACCAAATGGCTACAGGAAATGCTGCTTTTAGCTCTGCCTGCTAACATGAAGAAACATACCTCATAACATGGTCCTGTATGTGTGTTACACAGTGGCTGGGACAGTCAGAGACCCAGTCTTACCTGTTACTTACAACCTTTTTTCTGTTAAGAGAGGAAATACCAACTAATAAATTAAAGCTGCTTTAATTCATGCATACTTGCAAGTTGCCCCATAGTCAAAGAGATCTCAGATGTCCTGATTTACTCTCTCTTAACAGCTACAAGAAGCAAGAGCACAAAAATAAGCAAGTATTTAGAATAGCTCTCCACACAATCCTGTGCCAGACCCAGCATCCCTCCTCACCTTAAAGGCCAGATGTTCCAGGAAGTAACCAGCCCCATTGTTCTTCTCATTCTCATGGCGACTCCCCACCCCGATCCACACCCCCACCTGGGGGCAAAAGCATCGAGCACACAGGTGACAAAAGAGAACAAACAGGATGCTCAAGCCTCATCCCACAAATATAACAACATGAACAGTAAGTTTGCTCCACAGGCTCTGCACTCGTGGCACCAAAATAAAAAACAGCAACTGTTTCTTCTACTTGTTTTTTTTTTTACCTAGCAGCTTCATAAAAGCCTCTGATAGTTTTGCCAGCAATACTACTACTACTACTATCAGTCATTGACTGCTCACACAAACACTGTAACACTGAGAAAACCTGTAGACCTTGAAACCTTCACTACAGACTTATACAAGCCAGACCTTGACTCCTGCTGCAACATTAATCCCACTGGTTAACAAAGAGAAGTTGTAGGGTCTCCATCAAAAGCTTTGGTTCAAACGCTGCTTTTGCAAGACCAGTTACAGCCCAGGTAAGGCTGATTGTTTCAAGTAAACCCTTAATCTGTATTAAACTTACCGTACACGTTGGCTGATTGGACTCCTCTGAAGCCACACGGAGCCCATTGTCCAAAGTGGTGACCTGGGTCTCGGGAATATTCTGGAGTGTCTGGGCGTAGGTGGCAGCACCTCGGTTCCTTGTCAGAGTCAATAAAGCTGCCTAAAACCCAAACAGGTCAACACTACCATCACCACTAACCAGCACTAACCCCCTTGGGCTGAGGATCGGGCTGGGGCACAGGGCTGGGGCACTAGGCTGGAGCACTGGGCTGGGCACAGGACAGGGCACC